TGCGATCAGATGGTGAGTTACTACTCTTCTCCCAGGACAACAATAAGATGGTACAAAAAAGTTATGTTCCACCTGCTGGATGTAGCTGTATGGAATTCCTACTATGCAATGACAAAACACCAAGATGAATTCTTTTGGAGTTAAGGAAAGACTTGGTAACAGAATTACTAAATATTCCCAAATAAATTATTGATGGAAGAAATATGGTTCATAGTGGAGCTGTGTATGGCGGAAAATTACCTAGAATGGAAAAAAATACAACAGTTTTGAATCCTAATATTGTACAATTTTTTCCAGATCATACACCAAACGTGAAAGACCCTAGCAAGAGTCATCATATGAATTGAAAATTTTGCCTAAAAAAGAAAACGCGCAAGAAAACCAAATACTTATGCAAAACGGGTCCTGATAGACCAGTACTTGTATTGTTCCCTGTTTTGAACTATATCACAAAAGCTAAGTCTATCGTTGTAAGAGTTTATTGAGTTTAACTTAGAAATAAAGATTATTTGCTCTTACTCATAGAGAGCGGCATTTATCGCCTTGTCCATTTAAATGATGTGTAAGACATACATGGACAAAGCGGTATTTACTGCTCATTGTTTTTTTTTGTTTCGAAAAAATTTCATGATCATCCAAAATTTAATTCCATCACTTTTTCAGTAAAATTTTACAACCCCCTTTAGTCAGCTAAGTGTCCGCGAACGTGTTAATAAATTATTCTATTATATTGTATCATTTAGGTACCCATTTTTATTTTGCATATATTTTTACTTTATGTTGATGTAACATGTAGTAAGAAATAATACAAGAGTATAAAGAGGCGTGAATGAACAGATCTTCAAACACGATGACTTCCAGATTATATCGATTTCTACAGTATCTATGACTTACAACAAGACACAAATAGTAGAGACTACGGTAAAGCTTCGTTTCGGAAACGCAATGTCATTAATCTTTGTAATAGTTAACGTAGCGTAGGTCAAGAGTGATATTGAGCCGTGTCATGACATGCACTATCTGTGTTTTCTTACATTTACCGCCATTCCACACACGACGATAGGTCAAGGTGTTTCAACGATTTTTACGAAAGATTGGCAACTGTCTTCTCATAGTTTGTATTACTTATTATACAGGGTGTTCCTAAATATCATGTTCGTACGGAAGGGGGTAATTCCTTAGCTTATTTCATGACTAAAAATTAATAAATTGTTACCGATCTACAGGGTACGTACCTAATGTTTAGGAACACCCAACTGCAATATGCAATAATCGTATAAACATTAATTAATTTTTGAACTGATAGGAAAATTTGCAATATAATACTTTTCATCAAAGGCACGGATGAAGGCAATGAGGCAGCCTATGGTTTTTTATAAGCTAAGTTTAAATTTTCTGTAAAACCGTTAGTGTAAAATCTTATTGTAGATAACAAAGATGTATTCGGGGTAATGTTATGTTAGATGGATATTCGTGACCTTGATTCTGAGTTCGTTAGATGGATTTGTGTGTCCTGGAGTCATTAAAGCCATTAGAACTATTAGATGTTGCATACAAAAAGCGTATGCGTGTAAAGTCTGAGTAGACATGAACATCATCAACTAGCTTGTCGGTTATCGGCAAACATAAAAGAATTTGGCCCTAATGGTCTTAATAATTGGTAGAGGGATTTTTGAGATTTTTTTCAAAATTTTCAAATTATTCTACAAATTCTTTCAGATATTTCTGACTTTTCGGATTTTGATTTGCGATATACTGTATATTAAATTCACAATTTTCATACTCAGGTTACTTCGCTAAACGTACATTGAAAAAACTCACGCAGACAAAGATATGGGCTTAGTATGCATCAATGCATTTCTCATATATACCGATGCTGTATAGAGGTATTTAAAGATTTGACAGCGAGTCTGAAATGGTGTCTGGTCCGATTAGCACATCAAATTTTTGTCTAGGAACCTTGACAGTCAATGTCATCATGGTCTAGTGGAAAGGGTATTTGTCTAGAGAACAAAGATGGCTTGGTTCGAATACCGACAATGACAGGATTTTTCAAATATCCAAGTATTTATTTTCACCTTTGGGGTTCGGGGATGGTCTTAATATTTTGTAGGGGGATTTTTGAGATTTGTTTTCGAATTTTCAAATTATTTCACAGCTTATTTTAGATATTTCTGACTTTTCTCTATAGAGGAAAGGCGCCTAATATTAGGGTACTGCCTAATATTGGATACCTAATTATTTTAAAAATGAAACTGAATATGTGCTTCCCTCTATTAACCAGTAGCTGCGTTACACCTTAAAACCCCTCCAATACGTTTGCAGGGTTCTACAATAGACTTTGTTGACATAAAAGACATTAAAAGGAAATGTGTGTATCTGAAAATTATTTGCTCCCTATATTAAATGCTGAGTTATCAGTTAAACGGTAAACATTTTAAATATTTACAAATGGGATGGCTAATGCATGTTATAGAGTAAATTTTACTAGAATTTTTATTAACAAAATCTTTTTTGTCTAAAATAATGATAACTAAAAATTTTATGATGTGCCTAATATTGAATAGCTACAAGTTACCAATATTGAGGCGGGTACAGATCTGAGCACGTACGCGTATGAGGTAAGCAGAGGACGCATGATCATGCAGATGTGGACGGGCTTCCGAGGCGCGGCAAATTGCCTCGTTGTGTGCGCCGTACAGCCCCGATCCGTTTGTTGGCGGTACATCAAAGGGAGGTAATGCGCAGTACGTGTTCAGCCTGGACAGTGAATTTGTACCATACATCACCGTACAGATTATAGCGAGTTTTAAGTATTTATTTTGCATGGAACGGAACCAGGAAAACGTTTTGCTTCTCCTGGATTTAAATAAACAGCGTAATATCTTAAGAGAGCAAAACGCCAGTTCTATTACAACACAATTATAAAAAATATCCTTGGTAGGAAATCGGCCATCGATTCCTCTCTTCTTTTTTTTAATGTGTCGGATAAAATAATAAAACATGAACTCAACTCCGCGATGTCATTCTCATCCTTCATTTTTGTATTAATTTTACGAATGTTCTGGGTATTCGGTTGCGTGCTCGTAGGTCCACCATACGTGTATACAAAATGCGTCACACGAAGCATTCGGTTCGGCCTTGGCTTGCTTCATATGCGTGCGTGCTCAGATCTGTACCTGCCTTTGGATATCCAATATTAGGCAATGCTTTGAGGTCAACTGCAATAATATATTGTTTACAGTAATGGCTACTAAAAAATGAAAGCAATGGGATAAAGCAAATATGACTAGTGCTATTCAAACAGTAATAAATAAAGAGATGGGATATTTGAAAACTGCCAAGTCGTACAATGTTCCGAAGTTTACCTTGGAGTATTACCGTAAATTTGAAAATCCTCTACAACATTCAGAAAAATCGACTCTTGGTCGTAAGCCTGTGCTACCTGAAGTATTGGAAAAAGAGTTGGCAATACATTGTCTGAAATTAGAGAAAAGGTTCTGTGGTTTAACATCGTCCGACTTTCGTCGTTTGGCTCATCAGTTGGCTCTAGCTAATAATTTGCCACATCCATTTTCAAAAACAAAAGCTACTGCTGTGTAAAAATGGCTAAGGAATTTTTTGAGACGAAACAAAAATATTTCTTTTATAACTCCTCAAGGTGTATCCGCAGCTAGAATCAAAGGATTTACTAAAGAAAATCTGATTAAATTCTGAGATATTTTGGAACCACAATTAGACAAAATTAAGTTTAATACAAGTAAAATTTATAATGTTGACCAAACGGGGATAACTGCAGTCCAACACAAGCATATTGTTACGCAGCACCCTGCAGCGTGCTGCGGTCGTCATAAGTAAAGGTACGAGTAAATGAAGAAGATAGAATAGTCTAGAAATGTCTCGAAATCTCATTCCTCAAAATCCGGATTGTTCGAGAAGGTTCTAAAAAATTGAGGCAAGGTATATAAGACGATGACCTGACGTCAGAGTTCAGTTTTATGATAGACGTTAAACGTTAATGTTATCAGTTGGATAGTTATTGTTAAAGTTGATTTGTAGTTATTTTAAAAGTTGAATTGAAATAAATTATGATACCGAAAACCAGCGTAACAATATTAAAGTAATTAGCCTAAAAGAAAAGAAACAAGTAGGAGCATTGATATCAGAACGAGGTGCGCTGCTCACTGTTGTTTTCTGAATGAATGCTAATGGACCTTTTATACCCCCAATGATGATTTACTCATGGAAAAATTTTAAAGTAGAGCTTATGGATGGAGTGCCTCCAGGATCAATTGGAAAATGTCATCCTTCTAGCTGGATTCAGTCATATTTATTTAGGCAATGGATGGATCATTTTATTACGCATGCCAAGCCATCCCACGATGATCCTGTTATTTTAATAATGGATGGGCACTATACACACACTCGAAATTTGGATGTAATTAACAAGGTTCGGGAAAAATCACATAATATTATACCTACCTCCACATTCGACCTAGAAGGTTCAACCATTGGATGTGGCATTTATGGGTCCTTTTAAAACGTATTATTGTCAAGAAATTGAAAACTGGTTAAAAGCTAACCCAAGAAATTTCCATAAACGGATTTAGAAAATGTGGCATTGTGCCTTTTAATAGGAATATTTTCCGGGACCATGATTTTTCCATTCATGAGAAATTGGAAACTGCTGTTGAAACTGAAAATATTAATCCACAAAATGGACCCCCAAATGATATTATCGAAGCAATGACCAAATCTGAACTCATTGCTCAAAAACCTGAACCAAAAATTATTGTTTTACAAAATATTATTTGTAATAAACCAAATACAGAACCTTCGGTTTCTATTGCTAATAAAGAAAAGCAAATTAATTTTGTAAATCCAGCTAACATACATCCATTGCCAATATTACCTGGTCCTTCAGGAATCACAAAGTCCAAAAACAACGGAAAAGTTTAAGAAGATTTAAACTTTCAATCAAAATCACCTGAAAAATGTAGAAAAATTACACTACTCAAAAGAAAAAGCAAAACGTTGTTGTTTCCTCGGATTCCTCGGAATCAGAAGAGGAAGTCCAATATGCGGATTCGGAAGATGATATGGATCCAGAAGAAGATGTGGATTGTCCCTTCTGCTTGGAATCATTTTCTTCAGATAAAGCAGGAGAAAAATGGGTAAAGTCTTGCAAGTGTTACAGATGGTCCCATGACGAATGTACTGGTTCTGAAGGCAAAAAAATTACATGTCTGACTTTTGTCTGGATGGATGATTTACCCTTTTTAGGCTGTAAAGTGGAATTTTTTCTTCTGTATTTTCCTCAATAAAGTTTTGAAATTATCAATAGTTTTTGAATAACAAAATGGTTTCCTAATATTGGATACCCTATCCAATATTAGGCTACTATTTTCTTAATTGACAAAATCAGTAATTTTTCAAAAATATTTAATTACTTCCTGAAATAATTTTTTATTCTTTTGCTGACCATCTTAACTGATAATATATATTTATTCTACAACTCAATTAAACTAACGCAAATGTAGGGATGTTTTTTTGACATAATTTAACAGTTTAAAAAAAAGTATCCAATACTAGGCGATTCTTCTCTACTAAATTCATAATTTTCATAAAATAATTTTTAACGATACAATTGGGCAGTATTGAGAGAACTGTAAAATGAAATATTCATAATATCCAATAATATGGGCGCAACAAAAATAATGAGACGCAAGCTAAGTAAAATTATTTCTCTGATCGTTGAAAAATTAAGTTATTGGCTATAACTTTTATGTTCTTATGGACTCTTATAACACATAAAGTGGTAGGTATTAATATCACTTTATGTCAAAAGATTTAAGTAGTTGAGAAAACATTTTAAATGAACCGTTCGTTTGCAGTGTTAATCGTTTGTTTAAATGAGACTAATTTCTAGAGAACTGGATGCTTTTTGCCCTTACCCATTGTACGTTCAGTTAGTTGTGCGATTTTCTCACAATTCATTTTAAAGCATTAGATTAGAGATTGCTTTTGCTACATTTTTAGATCTATTGTGGGACTCAGTTATTTAAAGTATGTCGTCTAACTTGGTATTTTTTATTAGAATTAGTAGCTTTAACAGTGGCTCCCGCAAGTAATTACATGCATCTGGCATTTCTTCATCTAGTAGGCTTGTAGGTGTTGGTTCAAATTCAAGCGTCGACGGCTTTTTTTATTTTTTTTTTAATTGTTTATCTTTGTTTTGTAGGTTCTCCTCATTTTCGGAACTTCAGGAGCATGCAGATGTGATGAACTCCTTAAAATGGTCACTACAGATATTGAAGATAAAGATTCAATTTTAATAGTAAATATACCACATTCTAAGACAAATATACAGAGAACGTTTGTAATCAATGCTTCACCGGGGAATGGCCCTAATTATATTGACATTTATAGAAAATATACATATATCGCTACGCCCTAAAACAGATCAGACTCGTTTATTTGTCTGCTATAGAGCAGGAAAATGTATCAACCAAATGGTTGGAAAAAATACTATTGCTAAAATTCCTAAAAAAATTGCAGAATTTTTAAAACTGCCTAATGCCATAAATTATACCGGGCATACTTTCAGTAGAACCTCGGCAAAATTACTTGCAAACTCTGGAAGAGACATTCTTGCTTTAAAGCAACATGGAGGTTGGAAGTCTACGAATATCGCTGAAAGGTATGTGGAGCAATCTCTTACAAAAACAAGAAATTTTTCGAATCAAATTATGGGAGTCACTGAAGTTAATGAAATTGATTGTAATCAGCCAAGTACAAGTACTTCCGAAGGATACCAGTTGTATAATAAGGTTTGTGAAAATATCACCAAAACTGCATTGGCTCCAACTCTAGTGGGTATTTAAATAACCACTGCGCAAAACTGCACGTTTAACATTAGTATAAATAATTACTCTATCACAAATTAAAAATATGTAGGATGCAAGAATGAAAATAACGTGCCTATAATTTATACTGTACCTACTTCTTAATTTTAGTTCTTTAATAAATTTTGTTTGTTAGTTTCATAAATAAATTATTTAAAAATTACTTGTCATTTGAGGGAGGCGGAAACATCATATGTATTACTTGGGAGTAAAGTGCCTTTTCCTCCCTTGGATGTTTACTTCATCCTTCGGGAGGAAAAGTGGCACTTTCCTCCCTAGTAATACAAATAGCTATTATTATTAGGTTGGTAGTGCTCCATTAGCATATTGTGAGTGGTATGGTTTTCTCTTCTAGAGCCTTCGTTATTGATCTGATCGAGGCACTGTTGAAAGCTCATTTGATATTACCATTTTAGATCGGTTAGTGCTGTTTTTGAAGGATATTGTGCGTGCTGTTCCTTTTCAAAGATAATATGCCCCCACTTCCAGTAATAACCGTAGGTGTTAAAATAGAGAATAAGAAGTTTTTTTATTGATATGATTATGATATTAGAAATACAAATAAATATATATCTATATGGAAATCTAATTTAATAAATTACTTTCCTAAGAATATCTCTATAAATAAATGAATATATCTTCGTTTTAAACAAAGAATAATCGATTGCTCACAAACGTGTTACTTTAAATTTCAGACCAGGCCATGCCAAAAACACAGTATAAATAAATCTCATTTGTATTTTCTACAAAAACAAAAAGGTAATAGAACGTTAGCATATACTTCTATAATTTATTTCATTGTTTCAAGTAATCATTAATAAAAAAATTCTATTGCGTCCCTAATTTTAAATTATTATTACTAATGTTACACCACACATATGTTATTTTTAATTAGGTGCTTATCAAATTTCAGCAGAACAGGCAATTTTTTTTGTTCAATTCTAAAAATAACGAAAGTTTAACTATGCATATAAGCCACCTCGTAAACTTTCGATTAATTCGGAGATAACCGACACTCATGGCTGCCCATTTGGTTAACGGCTACTCCTATCTTTACTATCAACTACATTCGCGTATTATTTATATAAGAAGTGGTTACATTATGTCTAAGTGCTGTGACTTGAAGCTATAAAATATTAAGAATGTAAATGCATATAATTACTAGTATTTTTAGAATGTTCATAACTTGTAACCTAATATATATATTTTATTGTATATGTATAGTGATAGTGAAGTAGAGGATATGCCAGGAGTATAAAAAAACTAGAACTGAAAGAAAATTAATGATTATTACTTGTTATTTTTAATAAACCTTTTTTAGAGCGCTATTGTTGTTTTATTGATATTTAACCGTGGATTGTTTGCATTTAATTTAATGTCCTGTCTTTAAATCAAGGTGTCCCGAAAGTAGACGACCATATTTTAACATCCTAAAATAGGAGTAAAAGTTCATATAAACATACGTCCGAATACTTTTCGTTTTCGAGATACAGGGTGTTAAAAGTGAAGTCCCTGATAACACATTTTTGTAAACATTTTCTAAACGTTTAAAGATAAATTAGTGAAATTTTGTACAAATGCGCTCTTTTTAATGTTTTGGTCATCTTCATAGGTGGTTAAATTAGGGTAAAATTGTTATAAGTTTTTTTGTTGGCAGTTTTTATTATTTTTGACTACAAAATTTGGAAAAAGCAATATTTTCTTTAAAATAAAAATACTTTTGTTGCATCTCGCACCATTTTCAAAGGAAAACCATTTAAATATTTCATAATATGTTCATACTATCTTATTTGAAAGTGCAAACAGTAATTAGTAGGCCTGTAGAATCAGAAAATGTATTTTTTTTTTCAGCTTTGAAAAACCGGTGACTGAAGAAATTGATTTATCTTTAAATGTTTTTAAATGATTATTTTATAAAAAAACTTTAAATGGTAAAACTAAATAGTATTTAAACTTATTGAAGACTGAAGACATGCAGACTACTCAGTTAGTTTCATTATGATCTAGATTAATACTTTTATGTTTGATGTTCTTGTTTTATTGATTTAATTGAATATATCAGTTTTGAAAACCGTCATTTTTAATTTTTTCAAAGGGAATCTTATTTTGTATTTATTTTCTCCTGCACTCTATTTGGGTTGGAACAGAATTCCCAATAAGTTATAAGCCCAGCTAGACATATCTGCTGAAGAAAATACATCATTTGATATATTGCAGAAAAATTGCTGTAAAATTAGTTGACACAGTTAGATAAGAATATTCTTAGAAATCATGGCTTTAAATTCAACTGATATGGATGCTCGTATTATTAAGTTTGGTGGAACAAACTCCCAGTTATGGAAATTTAGTATTAATATTATGCTGAATGCCAGTGATCTAATGCATATCGTAGATGGAACTAAAACAAAACCTCCAAAGTACAGAAGCCGTTAGGTTACAACTATGGGAGACAAAAAAATAACCAGGCAGTGGTAATGTTTCTTACTACCATTAATGAAAAGCACTTGAATTACCTCGTAAATTGCGAAACAGCAGCAGAAATGTGGAAAAAACTGAAGAGTGATCATGAACAAAAGACAGAATTTTCCAAACATATCATGTGTCAAAAGTTTTATGAGCTGTAAATGAACAAAAAACAAGATATTCATAGCAGAAGTAGAATCTTTGGTCACGCAATTAAAAAATATGGCAGAAGACTTATCTGATGTTGCAATTATGTCCAAAATTATTAATAGCCTACCGTCAAAATTTGTAATGCTGATTACTGCGTGAGATTCCGTTGATTCCGCCAAACAAACGCTCTCACATTTAATTGCAAGACTCTTAAAAGAAGAACGGAAGTTATCAGTTTCTAGAAATAAAAATGATAGCTTAGCGTTCCAAGTCCAATCTCCAAGGAAATCACAATTACAAACCAAATCAAAACAGAATATTCAATAATTAAAACAGAAAACCAAGTGTGGATATTGCAAACAAGTTGGGCATTGGTCCTCGCATTGGTCCTCGCATGTGATTTACCAAGCTGTTTTAAAAATTGGCCAAATGAAGAAAAAGATGTTTGGATAGCTGATTCGGATGCTAGTGCTCATATGTCGTTTAGAAAATAATGGTTTAAAAATTTGAAAATACTGAGAAACGAAGTTGTAGTAAAAATTGCTGATAACAAAAAGGTACATGCAAAAGCATCTGGTGAAATTGAAATTACTGCTTTTGTTATTGGCACTTGGAAAGAAAAGATATTGACTGATGTTTTATATATTTCAAACCTA